TTCTACTCGCGCGCCCGGAATACTCGTCGGGAATTCGCGAAATTCGTTTTAATTGCGCTTCTCCTCCGTGTTTCTTATCGCATTTCGTGCCTCCGCCGCGTTCGCTCGCTATCATAATTATTTTGCGGCGCTCGTTCACCCCCACGGAATGATCCGGCCTCTCCATCTTTCGCACGGGCGCTGCTGGGATTATGTACACCATTTAACAATTATACAACGATGCTCTCTCGATACACTTTTTTCTAATACAAAAATAATTTTTTTTTTAGTTCGAATGCTTCTAATGACACTGTTCTTTCTGTTCCAGGTAAGAAACAGTAACGATCCAAAACCAGTCTTCGGCCGGTGAGTGATATTATTTTCGTTGTCCGCACATGTTTTCCAATATTTTTGCATCGAAAAATGCAATGGGAATTGTTTTTATTTACTCGAACGAATCTATGCGTTAATCGATCGACGGCGGCATCATTTGCTTGTTATCCCCGTAAGTCTGGCGTGTTAACATCGTGTTGCATCAGGTTCCGCGTAACGTACACGATCGAACAATTGTCAGTTTAATCCTTTGTGACGAGCGAAAACGTCGCTGCAACCAGCGTAAATACCGTATATATTCGAAATACTCTATCATTGTAGAAGAGCCCCTGAAAATCCATGCTGTTTTCCCGGGGAAAGCGGTCATTCTCTGCACTTGATCGGAAAGTACTTATTCGTGTATTTGCATCTCTATTGTACACATATCCTGAAGGACCAGTTCCGCTGCACACACGAGACAAGATATTAATCGTAACTGCACGGAAAGACCGGCTGAGGCAAAAATAACTAAAATTAAAATTAAGCAACATATGAGAAAATGCCAATGTGGGTCACAAGGCAAGATGTAGGTAGCCCAACTTGTAAATCTTACATTTAGAAAAATGTGACACATTGGCGTTTTCTCATATGTTGTTTAGTTTTAGTTAGGGGTCTTACTTGAAAGTTTATTAAAATTAAAATGTTGCCGTACAAATAGTTGGGGCATCTACACTGTTTTGTGTCGCAACATTCACTAATAGCGAATTCGATTGCTCGCACTAGTGCGCAATGAGTGCACACTAAGACTTGTTCACAGTCAATTTTTACATTTGAAAATCATCTTAAATTTTTCATAGCCAGTAAAATGATCTGTACAGCATTCACGCGGATCGTATTTTGGCTAAACGCTCTTTGAACGTGTGTTTAAGACAAAGTTAAGTATAAAAATTGACTATAAACTGGCCCTAGTGTGCACTCGGTGCGCACTAGAGACCCTGTAATCAGAGACTGGTCGTAAAAGAGTTCGTCAAATTCCTGCGAGTGAGAGAGAAACATAGGCTATCTCACTCTTCTACTCGATCGTAGAATCGTAAAAGAGTGAGATAGCCTATGTTTCTCTCTCACTCGCAGGAATTTGACGAACTATCTTATGGCCAGTCTCTGATTACAGGGTCTCTAGATGCGCACTAGTACGAGCAACCGAATTCGCTATAAGTTTGCTACACAAAACGCATATAGCTGTCTCCACTATTTATCATACCAATGCGGGTATCACAAGCACAGATACAGCTGTCCCAAATATTACTATTTATTGGGGTTGTGCCAACCCTAATTAGACACGTGGTAACCACATCGGTCTCTCCGTGTGTAGCCTGCTTTAGAAAATGGGTGTGAATAGCGCTGCGACAAGTTAAATTTTATTTGGAATTACGCAGGATGTCGTTAGAAATATTCTTAGACGTTGCCACGCGCGTCGATTTATTTCTTATCGATCTTGCGATTTGCGAACCCTAGGCACATATGCCTGGCTTTGCTTTAGCGCAAGATCACTGTGTCTCGCGGTAGGAATATATCGAATAACGAGTAGCCAGGGAAAATGTTCCATTAATAACGCGGGGTGGACACGTAGCATTTGACTGTAGCCTGCTCGGAGAACTCTTTGACGTTGCTTATCGGCGATGCCGACGAGGGGGCTCCGGGGCAAGTAATCGGCGATACAAAATGGAAAACGCTGATAATTTAAGCGTGGGACCCTCCGCTCGGTCGATCGAGACCGAGCGAGGGGAATGGACGGAGCGATAGAAAGAGAGAGAGAGTGAGAGACGGGCAGAATAATCCAGGGCGTTATTTTATTCGTTGCTGCGGCGCAGTGGATGCACAAAGTTTTCATAAACGTTGCTCGTGGGCACGTTAAACGCGCGCGCGCGTCTCTCTCTCTCTCTCTCTCTCTCTCTCTCTCTCTCTCTCTCTCCCCCCCCCCTCCTCTCCTCTCCTCTCCTCTGACCTCGTGAGAGAGCTCCTCTGCTTCCTCTCTCGCTCGCAGCATGCGGCAGACAACGGTTAATCAATGGGCTTCAAGCGCAGGCTCGCATCCCGGGATCTTTCCTGATGGACAGCGGCAACAGCAGCAGCAACAACACGAGTCCACCCGGGGAGGGGTGCGAGGGGAGGGAAAGGAGCGAGGGAGGGAAAGAGCGAAACAAAAGGGGGAGGAAGAGGAGGCGCGTATCGAGAATTAGATGAAGAGAGGAGGGATGAATCGAAGATAGAGGGAGAGCACGATAGCGAGTGCGCCGCGGGCGTGTAAAACTAGCGAACAATTTAAACTCCCCCTTTCAAGTCGCGGCTTTGTTTATGCGGACGAAAATAATTCGGCCGTGTGTCCGTCTCTACGTCTGACGTGGGTGCGAAAATAAGCGCGGATATACATATCCGCGAATTTGCGGATGCGTCTCGCGGACCTTGCCAGCATCTGCAATTTCGCGTTCAACTGGGAGTCTCGAATTGAATTTTTGAAAGATTAAAACACTCTCTCTCTATCTCTCTCGGACGTCACGCGAATTTACTTCTACTGATCTTGGTCACCCGAGAATCGCGCGACGAGTGCCCCAATTGTGAGGAATCGCGATCGGTCCACGGGACGATTACGCGAAGCCTGTATAATATGGGAAAGTTACTATCCGTTGAGTATTTCGAGTCCCCGTAATAAAACTTACGGTGTGCACTTAATAGTACAGACGAGAGATAAAAGTATAGCCGCTGCACCGACGTCGAATGCAACGCCGCGAGGTGACGGTGACTTTGAAGCGAGCAATCGGTAAGGAAGTCAAAGCGAACGGGGAAAGGTCTCCTCTTTGCGGAATTAGTCTCGGATCGCGCGGCCTGTCGGTTTCACCGTCAAGTAAGAGAATTACTTTCGAACTCGTAGACCGATAAAACAGGCCCTCTCTCATTCGCCACCGCGCGACTCGAGTCTAACTCGACTCGGACCTAAAAACTTTCCGCACTCGTAAATGAGAGCCACCTGGACGCGCTCAGTTTTATGGTCCATTTGCATTCGGCTTTAAAAGTGCCATCAAAAGAATCTTGCAATTAAAGGCACGGTCGTGGCGCGCATCTTCGCGAATATCGCCCGGTCCGGCCCAACCCGGCCCGGCCCGGCCCGGCCCGGCCGTCGTTTCTCGGCAGCGGCAATTCGCCAAATTCCCGATCCGTCTCTCTCTCTCGTAGCTCGTCGGGAAAAGTATCAGGGATCCCCCTCGATCTCGCGACGTCCGAAAAATCGTCAACGTTGTCCGTTGAAACAATTGCCAATTAGCCGTTGTTCGATTATCGAGGCATCGCGCGCTTGTGACAGCGGACAGCATATCATTTTTGCGATGTTGAACACACGTCATATCGCTCTATCGATGTGCCGTTCCCCCCCCCCCCCCGGCATGGACAAGATTTCAAATCGGCGTGTAGCGCGTTTCCAGACACGTCGAACGGCCGTTAGAACAGACTCGCCCGCAAAATTGAACGAATCACGGGGGAGGATGAGAGAAACGGATGGACGGACCGACGGACGACATTGCACACACACACACACGTGCTGCATTCGCACGAAATGCGAGGGCGAGAAGAAAAATGCAAGGAGAGGGACGGGAGAGGGAGGCAAAACTTCTAGCGAGATTGGATCCCTGAGAGTGGTTCGTGCTGGCTCCACCTGATTACCCAGTTTCGCTGATGGATTCTTAGACCCCTTCCGAGAGCTGGCCCGCTCCGTTCTCTCGCTTTGCCGATCCGCGATTGTCCACCCTCCTTGAAGAGCGCTCTAAGCGCTTCCCAATACCGGCCGATCGTGCATTACGGTCGATTCTCTTTTAATAAATCGATGATTTCGTACAACGGTGTACCCTTGCCGAATGAGGGTTGCACGAGACGCAAGAATCTATTGCATCCGCCAATTGCCTACAACCCGAGCGCGGGATATCGGTACAGATTGAACCGAAAGCTTCCCGCCGTAGCGGAACGGTAATTTTTCCATCAACGTTTGCGCCAAGTAAATTTTCTATAACGCTGAAAAGTATCGATCCGGGGTAACACCGGCGACGTGAGAAATGTTGCGTTAGAGGCTCAAGCGGACATAATGATTGCGTAATTGCGAGGATCGCTGGTAGGTGGACATGACCGCGCAACTCGAAACGAATTTAATAACGATCGGAGGAGGCAGGGGCGAGGGGGAATGAAATTAAAACAGAAACCGGAGACAAACCTCAAACCATTGCGCCGCACTAACTCAACTTGCGGGGAAAAAAATTCTGATACGCTGGCAAAACCAATTATTTTGCGGAATGCAGCTTGCGGTTCATTTAACGCAACGTGGCTACCTGATATTTTATATAAAACTGTCCACCGGTGTGTGGAGGGTCGAATCAGTTGCGACCGCAGTGACCGCGCACCGGCCACCGTCATTCCACCAACAATGCTCCCGACTTTTTTTAATTCTCGTGTTACGCAGAAGGATCCTCTCGGTCATTGGTTCGACCATTGATAATCTATCGTGTTACATTGCGCGGGCAGATGTCATTTCTTCCGTCATCGATCCCCCCCATAATTCGTGTCTAAATTTCAACACACGCGGTCGTCGTTATTGTCCCAGTAATAGCCACTCGTTCACTTCCATTTATACCTCCAGGAGGTTGCTTCTTTGACAGATTTCACGTCGGTAATAAGGTGATTCAGTAGACAAGTGTTAAAATGTATCAATTCTTTATTCGCTCTTAAAATACATGTCAATAGCACACGAACTCAAGCCTGGAAAGGCCGTGGGATGGATCGAGACTGAATGTTGTACGAGGTTAATTTTCGCAAATTTTCTCCTTATTTTCGCGGCACCGATTGATTGACGCGATGCTTAAATTGAGTTAAACGCGAGTCGGAACGCTCGATGCGCGATTGCGATAAAAGGCGATTAAAAACGCCGCTGTCAATTAACGAATGAATGCTTAATCGCGCTATGTATAAACCGCAAACGGAAGGAATTACTCGAGATTCTCTTCCCTGTGGCGTATAATCGAATCAAGTGTGACTCTCTTCAGCTTAAATCCCGTCACTCGTTTAAAAAGTAATCTTTAGTTTCACTGAAGATTGTCTCCGTTAACCGTTCTTCATTAGCAAATTGGCCAGCAAAGGTCGGCGTCCCTCATTAAAGATACACCGTGCCGTACCGAAAAGTTTTCCAACTAATTTACCGTAACTTCCTCCCGTAAAAGCCCTCTCTCTCTCTCTCTCTCTCTCTCCTTCCCTTATATTAAATAAAAATTTCAGTAATGGCATTCTTGTACAGCATCCAATTTGCGAAGATTACATTCCCCGCCGGATACCGCCAAAGGATCGAAGGAGGCTAACTATCCGTAAGCTCGGCGGGACACTTGCCTTAATCGCGCGTCTTCATTTCCAATTACCGCTCTCGTTAGAATTTTTATCTCGGCGTCGCCGGATTTACTGTTGTTCCGCGTCTCTCGATCCAACGCTCGCTTATCTATTCTATATTAACACAACGGTCAGCGTGTAATGGCTTAGCACGTCTACGCTTTTATTTCTACTATGTACAAGGCGCGTTAGGGTAAAGGCACATGTTCATTCCTTCGCAGAAATCGCTTACAAGCGTTACGAACGGCGTTATAGGTACGCAAGATTGCAAACGTGCGCTTCACTCACAGTTTTGACAAATAGCTAATTAACACTACGAGCTCGAGCGCGCTCGAGACGAGGGGGGAGCCTCGGAGGTTTACAGCATGGTGTAAAGATACAAGGTGAAGCGATCTGGTGGATGCGCAGTGTCGACCCATCAGAAGTGGTCCGAACTACCGAATTGACCAATCAGAAACTTGCCCCAACCTTCAAACTGCTCATCATCGCGGTTGAATGCAGGAAGGAGCAATGAACAATTTGCCCCAAAAATTGGCTACGTGCGCAACGTTCCACCTTGTATCCTTACACCGTGGTTTACAGGGGCTCGACTCTTGGATTCGTTCGATGGCGAAGCGTATTGCGAAAATTCCGCTCCGACAGAATAGTCGAGAGTCGATTGGGTAAAAGGTGTGCGATCAGCCAATCAGCTTGCGACTGTTCTGTAAGAGCGGAACATTCGCATACGTTTCTTCTTCGGACGAATTCAAGAATCGAGCCCCTGGTGTCGTATCTACCATAGACATAGTAATACTAGACCGAGCATGAGACGCCAGACCTGAGGCTCAGGTAGAAAAGGATAGAAAGTGGGTCGTCCCCTGCTCTCTCTCTAACAGGTTGACGCTTTCCATCCTTTTCTACCCAACCTTCATTGCTTAAAAGAGAACACGCTCGGTCTAGTATTTCTATGTCTATGGTGTCTACCGTTTGTTCCAATCGGTGCGAAAATCGCGGGCCGCGTATCTTGATTCAGAGACTGATCGATTGCACGCGTCGCGCTCGTTTACCGAGAATTTGTCGCTTATCGGCGCTCTTTTCCACGCAACAAAATGCCGCGCATCTCGCGCGACGCGCCATTACTAATTGCCGGCAAGCCTGCCGTTGTCATGTATGCGTGTTCGCGTGTACTTTACTCGGGCATCGCGATCGACGGGCGTGCACAATCGTATTATCGGCTATTGATTTCGGGAAGCATCGACTTGTGCGCTCGTCAATGCCGTCCACGCGCATCGATCTCTTCCTTCGGCTCGGCGCAAAGCGAGCAGCGATGCGCATCGTCGCGAAAACTCGACCGCTCTTCCGTAATTATTCGGAGTGAATGATCGTTTCCTTATACTCCTCTTAATATGTACGTATTAGTAGTATTTTATTGCATTCTTAAGTTCGAGCCGTTGACCGAAACAATAATATAAATTGTAATATCAGTTTTTAATGCGCGAGGAGAAGAAAAGACGTGGAAACGCAATCGTTCTCTCCTCGCACGGTCACAGTTTACACCACCGTTTCGTCCAACGGCTTGTAGAGTAACATTAACGAGCTAACAGTACTCAGCTAGTCTTTTACGCGTTTGCAATCGTTTTTCATGCGTTAACAATATTTTGGCGATACTGGACTATTCATGTAGGCGTCGTCTATTACGTCAGTGTTTAAGACTCGCGCTTCCCGACGACGGAGTCCGCCAGGTTGACGATTAAAGCGGAGTGGAGACTCCACTGATATTACCGCCTGTTTATAGGCCGACAAATACAACTTAACAAGTACAAAGTGTCGTCGTCCGAAAATATAAAGGAAATCGTGACATCCGCCAAATAGATATCATAGCGCGGTCGGGGCGTCCAACGGAGTCGCGTCCGAGTCTGATGATCGATCATGGGGCACTTGGTTGATTTTCCCGCAGATGTGTCGGTGGCACGTACCGCTGGCTCTCGTACTTCCGCCTACTTCCACCGTAACGATCAACTTGTGAGGTTTCTTGTCCGTCGACGAGACGCGCGACAGAAGGAGAGAAAGGTGTCCGCGTCGAGCGAAAGAGGAGACGGAGGCAGACGACGGCTTCGGCTCTCCCTCTCTCTCTTTCTCGTAGTCTCGGGCTGGGATCTCATCAACGATTAAGAATCGCATCGAGGGTGCAGGACGCTTTTCCGCGTCGGGCGGTTCCTTCCGTCAGAAGGGAAGGCCGATCGCAGACGGAAGTCTGCGCTCCACCTCCGGTTCCTTCTTTTATTGACGCAGCGGTGCTCATCACGACGAACCTACCCTCCCCCTCGTTCTCTCCCGCACCGGAATGGCAGGGGACGTTCTTCGCCGAAGGCGAAGATCGCTTCGATATTCATTGGGCAAAGATTTATCCGCCGGTAATCTCCCCAGAACGCTCATCGCGCGATTCAGCGGCTCGAGCGCTATCGTCATCGTCGTCGTCCTCGGCAGCGGTAGCGGCGGCGGCGGCGGCTCCCGCGATGCTCTCGCGACGACCTTTCGCAGAATCCACGATTGTCACGGATAATCGCGCCGTCGTGCTCTCCTCGCGATCGGCTATCGTCGGATGCTCTCGAGACCGTCTCCTCGTTTCCTTTGAAAGTTCCGCAGTCGTGATAGGGCCCGGGCATGAATCCCACGGCCAGCCGCTCTCGATCGATTCTGATGGAATAGTTAAGTGACTGCGATTGCTTCCGCGTTCGGGGAAAGGTACGAAAATCCGAGTCACGAGTTCCTTAAAGGGGGGAAATAATAATTTTCCGCACGTATCCGGAGAGACGCGAGATATTTTTCGAAGCAGCCGGCAATCTCGCAACGCTCCTCGCGACTCCTGTGTCGCGAGGAAAGTGCTTTCCTTCGGAGACGACAGTGATCGCGTTTCCACTCTTTCTCTCTCCCGCCTCCTCTTCGTTTCGAGATGAGTATCGCGTGCCGTCCGCCCGCCCCCTTCATTTCCTACGCACGAAGATATTCTCCAGAAGTTCCTTCGTGATCAGTCGGTGAGGTCTGGTCGGGCTCTCGGTGGGCGTACCGTAAAGTCGACTGTTGATGGCGTAGAGCTTCGGGCTGAGCTCGCACCTCACGTTGAACCACCAGTCGCAGACGAAGACCGCCTGGCTGAATTGCGTGCCGTTCGGACAGAGAAACGTTGCTTGTCGGCCGTCTATGTCGCAATAATGCCACGCCTGGCATCTCGTCTCTACGTCGGCGAAGAAGCCGGGGAAGGACTGGTCGTCGCAGTAGAAATTCGTGTAAGGCACCTTGCCCAGCACTGGGTAATCCGTGCCAGGTCGACCTGCAATTGCAATGAGTACCGTAAGTCCTACCGCTTCCAGCACGGTGCAGATATTTTAAGAGTATTTTAGCGGCCAACTAATTAAATAGATAAAATTAACGTTACATCTTTTATATATATTTTTTTTCTAAATATTAACTGGGATATTTGACGAATCGAAATGATAATTAATGTTTGAACTGTGCGGTTTTCGACGTTGAAATGCACTCCACCGCCCCCCCCCTCCCCCCGATATCGCGTATTCGATCGTATATTCGAGATCCTAAATAATTCACGGATTATTCCGGCTGCAATTTCAGCGCTCACGGATTCCCTTTGCGTGAAGCCCGCGAGCGCACATAAAGCGCCGGGCGATTTGGATGAGTTAGCTACTTAAATGAACGGACACGGAGGGGTTAAACGACTCGGTGCAGCCACGGTTCTTTGCCTTTTCTCTATTTCCGCCTCTATCTCTTCGTTTGCAGCCGCAGCCATTCGAATCTCATCGGGAAATCGCAGTTTCTCACATAGCTCTCTCGAACAATGGTGCGATTGTGTAATCGGAAACTAAGAGTAGACAGAGTATTTTTGATAGAGTATTTAGATGCAGTATTCTAGGTAGAGGAATGTTGAAAGCCAGGAGAAAGAGAAAATCGAGAGATCAAAATATATAAGGTATCTTAGATGCCTAGTAATTTTGCATAATTTTGTATGTTGAAAGATTATACTCGAGAGAATTTTTATCTATGTAAATTCTCAATTGCGTGAGTTGTATTGCACGATTAGCGAAGGGAAAGGAATTCCGCAAAAGTCCCGATCTTGCGAGATCGAAATGTCTGAAATTTAATATCGGTTAGCGCAAGCGAGTGATCCTAGGTAAGGACGGTCAAAAGAGGTGGAAACAAAGGGTGGACAACTCGAAGCTGTTCGCGTCGCGGTTGGAAGAGGTTCGGAAGCGCCATTAAAATAGCCCGAGAAAGCGCCCTCGGGGTCCTCCAACCACATCCTTGCCGCCACTTTTCCGTGTCCTCTTCTCTGCCTGGCTCTCCCCCGTCGTTCGAGGCTCGATGGAAAACGAAATAATTAGACCGGCGTGGGCACACCTTCGAAAGGGGTGAATAGCGCGAGAACGAGAATACGTTCGACGTGGTGTTGTCGTAGATTCTACCGAAGTTATAATTACGCGGACCCAACCGCAGGCCGGGACGAGAACGAGAGAGAGAGAGGAGAGAGAAGGAGTGAGCGAGAGGCAGGGGGGAGAGGGCGGGAGAGAAACGAGAAAGGACAAACGGGGGTGGTTTAGCGAGTGGAAGCGAGACAGCGAGCGTTTATTCCGTGCGGGTACGCAGAATCTCTTCCGCTGACAAAACAGATCGGACGAGCGGCGCAAGGTGTGAATTTCGTATGGATGTCGGTGAGACACGGTCGAATTTATGCGACCGCGCGGGTAGGTGCACGTTCTGTATACGTTCCCGGGGTGTTGCGCGCGTACAGACCGGTCCATTTCGTCGCTCGTATCGCATCGCATCGCGTCGCGTCGCGTCGCATCGCATCGCGTCGCATCCCATCACACCGCGTCGCATCGGCGTCGCGTCGCGTCGCATCGGTATTCCTGCAGGCACTCGAGATGAAACCTGGCCAATCCACTGTTTTCAGCTAACTTGGACGACTTTCCGCCGAGTGAATGTTGAATGAAAACGGACGCGAGAATTTCTTGACTCGCGAGAAGCTTAACGGTACAAGATAGTATTGCCAGATAATAATTAAGATGCTAAATGCTCGTGAGAAGTTCGTGAAATGTTAATAGAAATTAATTAGAGCCTAATTATTTAACAGAACCTTTTGTTCTGTCTCTTGAAACTATCAATTTCAGTTCATTTATAAAAGCAATTCACGCACTGAGAAAAACGTCCGATTAAATACAATCGGATAATCCAATTACATAATAACAAACGGATATATCCGATTAAATTGTACATTCGATAAAAAATGTGATCGGTTATTCAATCAAGTTTCATCGGTGACTGCATTTTATCGGATGTATTCATAATTTAATCGAAACAGTCAACCATCGGAAACGCTGATTAATTGGCTTATCCGATGAAAATTTTTCGTCCACAGTTACATGTATAAATAGTTTGAACTTTGTGGATGCAAGAACTTGGTGCGTGTAAAATATCGTTTGTTGCACGTTGAACGAATTTACGCGGTTTGCCATTGAATATTAAACGAAACACTTAAATTTTCTAATGCTTTAGACAGCGTGTTTCTCAAAATTTACACGAAGATTGTTCCGTTGTACATCCACCGTGAAAACCCAACTATTCCATCGTGTATAGTTTCTTCCTCCGAGAGACATTTTCCGTCTTCGTCGCATGCTCTTGTGAACGACAGTATTTCTGCCCGACGAAACTAAGCTTGTCACCCGATGAGATTCGAATAGTTGGACCGACAGAGACGCGAAGAGAGAGAGAGAGAGAGAGAGAGAGAGAGAGAGAGAGAGAGAGAGAGAGAGAGAGAGAGAGAGAGAGAGAGAGAGAGAGAGAG